CAGCTTCTGCGAAGGCCCGTTGATCAGAAGGGGTCAGAGGATCAACCCTAGCGGCAAGGGGGGCTGGGAAAATGGGTAACGGGATGGTCATAATTGAACCCACCCGTGACCCATTGTTTAGGATGGGTTTGTTGTTGCTCTGAACAAAATTGGGGTTCTGTTAGCGAAGAGAAGGGGAACAGATACTGGATAGGCACTGTTTAGTGTCTGCTCCAGCATTCTATCACACTGAGGACCTTTAGTTGCTTGTGGGAATGTACAGGCCCGTATTGGGGACCTCCACAATGATATAGGGAGGTGTTGCCCTCTCTCACCCCTGGACGCCTCACCCCAAGGAGCTGGGAATCATTGATTGAGTCAAGATTCAGACTCAGGGTTCCAGCTCTTAGCCTCCACCAAACCCAGCCAAACAGCTCCTGGGACAGACGCCAAACAAGGCAGAGTCTCTGTGTTGAAGATGTCCCCGGGCTAGAAGAGCCTGCCTTGTTTCTGGGTGCTCTGGGGGGAGGCAGCACTGCTTCAGGCTGGCCTCCAGTAATCCCTGCCCAGCGGGGGCCGGACCTCCTGGGTCCCATTCCCTCCCGTCGCAGCTGCGTGAACTTGGGCAAGTGACAGCCTCTCTGAGCCTCAGCTGCCACGTCTGTAAGCCGAAAATAGTAATAGTTTACTCATAGGAGTAAATGAGATATTAAAGTGCATCAAATAACCAGGAGATCGAAAACTATTCTGAAATAAAAAGTGTGTCTAAAATGTAAAATAAACCCAAACCAAGAAAAAGGACTAAGCCAGTTGTTGTTGCTATGCTATTTTGTATTTCCCCAGACGTCCCCAGAACTAGTCCCAGGTTGGCAGTCCTGTCTTGGCATTCAACGTCTCAGTAGGTGTCCGCCAACCTAATCCCCAGAAACTGGGAACATTCCCCCTCCACCGACCCCCTCCCCCGGGTGCCCACCTCGACTGTTTGTAACAAAACCCCCATAGATCTGACTCTTTTTTCACTTGTTTTATTAGCATCAATATATACAAAGTGGAAAGTGATGTAATTTCATTATCCTAGCTTAGAAAGTTGCTTTTGCTTTTTCTTCTGTTTGGGGATAAAAATGAAAAATGAAAACATCCCAGGAGAACGCCTACCCTTGGGGGTGCTTAACAACTCACACGCCCCGCCATGACCACGCAAGGGCAGAGAAAAGTCATGCTCTTCGGACTCACCCAAAGAAAGGTCATTTTTGCCCAAGGCTCATGCTCAGTCTCAATCTACCCCGGTGTTTGCCAAGTCGCTTCCGATCACACAACCGTCCTGACTGTGCGGCCACTTCGTTCCCCGCAGGGCTGTCGGGCCGTTTCCAAAGCCGCCCGCCCGGCCCGTAGGCTCTCCAGGGAGCTGGCTTCAGAGGGTCGCACTTAAAGCACGTCTAGGGAACTAAGTAAGGATGGCCATCGAAGAGCCACCGGAATGCTTATGTTGGCTAAATAATTCTACACCCCACCCCCTCCCCAAAATAGCAGAAGGATCAGCTCCAAGCCGAAGAGGGGAGAGTGTGGGTGTTTCCAAGGCCCGGGGCCCAGCTGACAGATCCAGCGGGTACGCACCGGCACGTAACACATGCCACCAAGTGCGTCCTCTGAAGCTCCAACTCTCTATAAACGTATTTCCCCACTGTTTTAAAAACAAAGAGTAGCTCGTAGGAAGGCTCAGTTTGTTCTCGAGTTTCTCGAGATCGCGTCCTGTTCAAAAATATTCAATTCCAACGGGTTTCAATATTGATCTTATAAAAACAGACACAGATGACCTGAAGTGAGGTGCCTGGCACATTTTTTTTTTTTTTTT